CATCTCATATGGTGTTTTGTTTTATTCTACAGAATTGCTAAGGGATTTACACACATATTGCATCCTATATGTAATATGCAACTTGATTCTGAAAACAGATGCTCATGTGTTATTGCCTCAATTATTCAGCCGAGAACAATTTATTGTGTGCTCTGATGTAGCTAATAAAGGACAGACTCAGGTCCAAGGTGAGATCCTCTCTTTCTGCCCAACAACACTCCGATTTAATTCTCAGTAAAGTAGAAATGATATTGGGATTCAGTAAGAAAAAGACAAGCACTGAGTTTATTGAACATGGGCGGTATAATCTCTCATATTTGCAGATAACATTTCTGTTCTGTTCAAAAAGGTCTTCCCAAATTAGTTTTCCACACCTCAGTGAGCAATAGCTACATGGTATGAAAACAGGGACTGCATTTAATAGCTCCCCTGAATGTGGCTCTCTTTTCCACTCTGCCTCTGACCAGCTACTTATTCAATTAATCTGCATCAAACATTTGTGAGAATGCATTCTGTCCCAAGAAAGAGAGTCTGATCTGAGAATTTATATCATGTAAATAATATTCTTACATGGCTTCCTTCTCCTGAATACCTGTTGACAAAGCAAAACGAAATTAAGTTATTTCCTCTAAAATGTGGACAATACATTAAACAACATTAAGTCAAATTGTCCCTGAAATCAAACTGTTATTAGGAAAATTATGTAAAACAAATTTAGGGATTGAGGGACTATCGAGTGGGCATGTATGGCTTTGCACAAACCATAATCTCTGTGCAGACTAAAGGTAGAAAACAACCTTCTGTGTTTTGTGAGACAAATAGGAAGCATCTAAAGAAACGAATTCTTCTGATTTCCAGGGAAATCAGTAGAATTTTTAAGAAGGAGGAAAAGTGGCAGAACTTTCTCATTCGTGGAAGACACGATAGACGGAAGACTGGTACTTCTGTTCCTGAACTGCTGATGCACCTGAAGTATTCAGTCATGGAAGAATTGATTGGTACTGTCCCTAAGAGAATTAGAAAAGTTAGGGACCTGGGCCACCATCTTGTGACCTCCTACCAGCGTGGGACGGGTAAAAATACCTCTAATGAGCTAACAATGTAGGTTTCCAAGACAGATGCCAACTTCTGAGGTGGTGTATCTAGAATGCTCTGAACACTCAGCTAACAGACAAAGGTCACTGACTGTGATAGTCATTGTGTGATGGGGTAAAAAAGGTGAAGAACTATCACATTCTTTTGACCACCATCAGTTTTGCAAGATAAGTAACTTCTGCAGATCTAGTGTACAACAAAGTGACTGTAGTGAACAACAATATTTTATTGTATACCTGAAATTTTCTAAGAAGGTAGATCTGAGCTGTTCACAGCATACAAATGAAAAGGAAATTGTAACTATGTGAGCTAAGGAATATATTATGATTTTACAATAAATGTATATATCCTGAAACAACACCTCACACACATTAAATATACACAATTTTTATTTTTGTTAGTTGTGCCTCAATAAAGCTAGTAAAAATGAAGTTAGTTAATCTAGTTAATTATGATTCATGTTTTCTTACCTTCAACATTAAAACTAGAAGTTCTATGGACAAAAAAACAACTAATATGTCCTGGGTTGCCTACTATTTCATGGGTATTGACTAAAACTTTTATGGATATTTTCATTAATTATTGAAGAAACACTCAAAGGAGGTGTTAATGTTCCCATTGTAGAGATGAGAAAATTGAGACTGAGAGAGGAAATGTAATATCAGAGTTCGGTTTTCCTATCAACAAACTCTTAGAAAATATTCCAGTGAAAGTAGTTTATTGAAAACTACCGATCACACCAGTAGATGTTGGAGAAGTGATACAGAAAAGGGTACACTACTAAACTAGTATCACAGTGACCAAATAAAGCTTAAACCAAACAAAAATTTGTCAGAAATGATGAAAAACAACAAATTAGAATTATCTTACTTCAGGAAGAACAAAGCTAGAGTCTCCATAAATCAACTCTCCAGAATCATTGGTTGAATGCTTTCTGTGTGTGACGTGCACAGGTGACATGACTTTCTTCAATTGCAACGCAAGAGACCTTAGGCACAGAGATGGAGATTCTGGCAAATGCATATTGGTATGAGAACACTAAGTTCCAAGACAAAGGTGTGGGATGATGAAATCTAAGCTACAATCTACCATTTGCTCCACACAGACCCAATCTTTGCTTCTTAAATGTGGTAAACAACCACAAACTCTAGAAGAGGGAAGATGAAGAGGAGAGGAAGAGGAGAAAGAGGAAGAACAGAAGATGAGAAGGAGAAGAAAGACAAAAAGATGAAAGAGAGAAGGAAGGAAGGAAGGAAGAAAGGAAAGAAGGAATGAAGGAAGGACAGAAGGAAAGAAAGAAAGAAAGAAAGAAAGAAAGAAAGAAAGAAAGAAAGAAAGAAAGAAAGAAAGAAAGAAAGAGAAAGAAAGAAAGTAGGGGAAAGGAGGAAGGGAAGGAAGAAAGGAGGGAAGAAAGGGAAGGAAGAAGAGAGGGAGGAAAGAAGAGAAGGAAGGGAGAAAGGGAAGAAGGGAAGAAGGGAGGTAGGTAGAAATTAAGAAGCTAAGAGAAGAAAGGAGGGGGAGTGATATATAAAATGAAGGCCAATGGAACAAGGAACAGTTACTGCCACTACAGTAAGGTGCACCCGAGACTCATCATCTCCACAAGCCACCACAAGTTCTATACTTCTGTCACCACTGTCCAGCAGTTTCACTGCCCTATGTATTTTCCTGAAGGAGTAAACCAGACCTTCCTGTCTGAAAGGGCTGAGCTGCTAGTTACTGTGCCATTGTCCACTGTGATTGCTGTCTTCAGTCACTGGTGGTTATCACCGGGCGTGGACACACTATGAGATTCTTCAGTGTTATGGGTTGACTGTGTCTCCACAAATTCATACTCAAATAGAGTCACTGAAAATGTAATTAGTTAAGATCAGGTCATACTGGAATCAGTTAGGCCTCTGATTCAATGTGACTGATGCCTGTATAGAATGGGGAAGTTCAGAGGCAGTGTGCTTCTAGAAGGAAGCTAACGTAAGAGACACAGGGAAAAGACACACATCTACAAGTCAAGGAGGGAGACCAGGAACAGATACTTTCCTTACAGTCTTCAGGCAAAAACAGCCTTGTCCACACCTGAAATTCAGACGGCTAGCCTTAAGAACTATGAGAAAATCAGTTTAAGCCATTTGGTTTGTAGTAGTTTATCATGGCAGTGCTAGTAAATTAATATATTCAGTAAATCCCCTGAGCTACAGATAGATTCACCTATATTCTCTGACTTCAGGATAATTACACCTCACCATACGGGAACTCTGTTCTTTCCTTTCTGATCTGCTGACATGAAGAGTGTAAAATGACTAGGCAATAATTATTACTTTTGATTATGCAAAGGAAATATTCTCATTTTAATTCACACAGAAGTAAAAAAAAAAAAAGCCAAATTGAACTACAGTGTTAAAACTTGATAGAGGGATTATCTGTTTTGGGTAATGAGAAAGAGAATATAATCTAAAGGGAATGGGATTAATTTCTGTTTCCTAACTTGGTAATGGGATCAACGATGTATTTACAAAGTTATCTCAAGTCAGAAATTAATAATTGGCATTCTTCCTAAATGAATTGTGTACCTAAAAAATGTTTAAATATGTTGGAACTCCAAGACGAAACAGGGGTCATCTCAACTCACCTAATTCCTTCATTAAAAGAAATGCAGAAGAAATGGCACTGACTGTGCTGGTAACCAGGCTTATGGCTGAGCCACGGCTCATGCTGGTTGGCCTGAATCCAAAGCAGTTATGTCATAGAAAGTCCTACATTCTATTCCTGGTAAGCCCCTCACTCCCAGACAAATCAGGACGAAGGGTCACACCAGGGCAAAGATTGCTTGATGCTATCTAAATCCCAGTGGACTTCTCCTTGTACCCACCGACTTTGATTCTGCTCTGCCACATAGAACACACTGTACCAAACACCCTCTTCCCAAGTGATTTTGATGGAACTGAAAGACACAGGTGGTGTGTGTTCTACAGAGAGATGCCTGTTAGACTTTTTTTTAAATTTATTTATTTTTGATTGTAATTTAGGTTCTGGGGTATATGTGCAGTTCATGCAAGATTGGTGCATAGGTACACACATGACAAGGTGCTTTGCTGCCTTCATTCCCCCATCACCCATATCTGGTATTTCTCCCCTCATTAGCCCTCCCCACCCTCCCCAACCCCTCTGTCCCTCTCCAAGACCCCCACTTCGGACCGCAGTGTGTGACGCTCCCCTCCCTGTGTCCACGTGTTCTAATCGTTCAACAGCCACCTATGAGTGAGAACATGTGGTACTTGATTTTCTGTTCTTGTGTCGGTTGGCTGAGAATGATGGTTTCCAGATTCATCTGTGTCCCTATGAAGGACACGAACTCAATGTTTTTAGGCTGTGTAGTATTCCATGGTATATACACGCCACAATTTCTTTTATTTTTATTTTTCAGTTTAATATATAATTTGCAACACCACTTGATTCAGACTTTGGTGGCTGAGCAGTTTTGGGCACAGACGTGGGTTCCTTTGGTCACTGTAAAAATATGTGCATCACACTTTTCCCTGCAGACACTTTCCAATCTACATACAGCCAAAGAAGGAGGTTGGTAGACAGAACTTGAGCGTCCCCAGTAACCAGGAACTATCACATGACCAGAAGATGGTCAGAGCAGGAACCATGCTAATGATGACAGGGGCTTCCTTTTATCTGAAACGAAGTTTCTGTGAGTAATTAACAATTAAGAAACAGATCAACCTTACTTCAAAAGATTCATAAGATTTCAAAAACAACTTTCCCTACGACAATCCCAAACGGACTGTGGAAAACAATGTAAATAGCAACAAGGAAATGTCCTGCTGATTGGTGGAAACGTTGGAGGCCCGATGTATAAAAGGCCCAGATTGGAAGGAGTCATCAGATTCTGGGAAACTCACCTCTGAACAGTAGCACACCGTCCACCCCTGACACCATGACCCACTGCTGCTCCCCTTGCTGCCAGCCTAGGTGCTGCAGGACCACATGCTGCAGGACCACCTACTGGGAGCCCACCTGTGTGACCAGCTGCAGCAGCACACCCTGCTGCCAGCCCTCCTGCTGTGTGTCCAGCTGCTGCCAGCCTTGCTGCCGCCCAACTTGCTGTCAAAACACCTGCTGCAGGACCACCTGCTGGAAGCCCACCTGTGTGACCAGCTGCAGCAGCACACCCTGCTGCCAGCCCTCCTGCTGTGTGTCCAGCTGCTGCCAGCCTTGCTGCCGCCCAACTTGCTGTCAAAACACCTGCTGCAGGACCTACCTGCTGGAAGCCCACCTGTGTGACCAGCTGCAGCAGCACACCCTGCTGCCAGCCCTCCTGCTGTGTGTCCAGCTGCTGCCAGCCCTGCTGCCACCCAGCCTGCTGTGAGACCACCTGCTGCAGGACCACATGCTGCCAACCCACCTGTGTGTCCAGCTGCTGCCAGCCTTCCTGCTGCTGATCAGCATTGCCAAGGACCATCATCCTTACACAACAACCTTCTGACCTTTATTTCTGAGACAGAGTCTCACACTGTCACCCAGGTTGGAGTGCAGTAGCTTGATCTTGGGTTACTGTAACCTCTGTCTCCCAGACTCAACCAATTCTCCCGCCTCAGCCTCCCAGCTAGCTGGGATTACAGGCCTGTTCCACCATGCCTGGCTAATCTTTGTATTTTCTGGAGACACGGAATTCCACCATGTTAATCAGGCTGGTCTCAAACACGTTACCTCAAGCGATCCACCCACCTTGGCCCCCGAAAATGCTGGGATTGCAGGCATGAACCACCGTGCCCAGGCCCAACTGACTTATCTTTCAAGGGACAACTTTATTTTCAAACACAGTATGCTCTCATCTATTTCTTCTTTTATTTTCTTCTGCATGTTTAAAATCTGGTGAATCAGCTTGCGGGAGGGCAGAGTACTTCGTCCTGATTCTCTTCTCCTTACACTTTGGGGATCATGTGCCAGCTGCCTGTGTTCTCAGTTTGGAGTCATGGTCTCAGCTTTGAATCTAAAGTCAAGAGCTTCATTTTCTGTTTCTCAAATATTTAGATTTCTGCAATGGATCCATAATCTTTGCAATCATATTTTCATTTTCAATTTCCTCCTCACAGTTTTTTACCATTCTTTCTTCTTTTTATGATAACTCTGGACTATGTCCCTTATAGCACAGATTCTTACCTATATGTTTCTCAATAAATTCTAAACCATCCTCCGTCTCATATGGTGTTTTGTTTTATTCTACAGAATTCCTGATAAATGGTCCACACACGTATCACATGCTATATGTAATATCCAATTTGATTCTGAAAACAGATGCTCATGTGTTATTACCTCAATTTTTCAACCGAGAACAATTTAGTGTGTGATTTGATGTAGCTAATAAGGGACAGACTCAGGGTCCAAGGTGAGATCTTCTCTTTCTGCTCAAGAACTCTCCTATATAACTTTCAGTAAGGTAGAAATGATATTGGGATTCAGTAAGAAACAGACATGCACTGAGTTTATTGAACATGGGCGGTATAATCTCTCATGTTTGCAGATAACATTTCTGTTCTGTTCACAAAGTTCTTCCCGAATTAGTTCTCCACACCTCAGTGAGCAATAGCTACATGGTATGAAAACAGCGACTGCATTTGATACCTCCCCTGAATGTGGCTCTCATTTCCTCTCCGCCTCTGACCAGCTACTTATTCAATTAATCTGCATCAAACATTTGTGAGAATGCATTCTGTCCCAAGAAAGAGAGTCTGATCTGAGAATTTATATCATGTAAATAATATTTGTATATGGCTTCCCTCTCCTGGATACCTGTTGACAAAGCAAAACGAAATTATTTCCTCTAAAATGTGGACAATGCATTAAGCAACATTAAGTCAAATTGTCCCTGAAATCAAACTGTTACTAGGAAAATTATGTAAAACATATTTAGGGATTGAGGGACTATCGAGTGGGCATGTATGGCTTTGCACAAACCATAATCTTCTGATTTCCAGGGAAATCAGTAGAATTTAAGAAAGAGGAAAAGTGGCAGAACTTTTTCTTTTTCATCCGTGGAAGACACGATAGATGGAAGACTGGTACTTTTGTTCCTGAACTGATGATACAATGGAATTATTCAGTCCTGCAATGATTGAGTGATATTGGCCCTAAGAGAATTAGAAGAGTTAGGGGCCTGGGCCACCATCGTAGGACCACCTACCAGCATGAGAAGGGTAAAAATACCTCTGATGAGCTAACAGTGTAGGTTTCCAAGACAGATGCCAACTTCTGAGGTGGTGTATCTAGAATGCTCTGAAGACTCAGCTAACAGACAAAGGTCAATGACCGTGATAGTCATTGTGTGATGGGGTAAAGAAGGTGAAGAACTGTCACATTCTTTTGACCAACATCAGTATCGCAAGATGAGTAACTTCTGCAGATCTAGTGTACAACAACGTGACTTTAGTGAACAACAATGTTTTATTGTATACCTGAAATTTTCTAAGAAGGTAGACCTGAGCTGTTCACACCATAAAAGTGAAAAGGAAATTGTAACTATGTGAGCTAAGGAATATATTATGATTTTACAATAAATATATATATCCTGAAACAACACCTCATACACATTAAATATACACAATTTTTATTTTTATTGGTCAGTAGTGCCTCAATAAAGCTAGTAAAAAGGAAGTTAGTTAATCTAGTTAATTATGATTCATGTTTTCTTATCTTCAACATTAAAACTAGAAGTTCTATGGACAAAAAACAACTAATATGTCCTGGGTTGCCTACTATTTCATGGGTATTGACTAAAACCTTTATGGATATTTTCAGTAATGATTGAAGAAACATTCAAAGGAGGTATTAATGTTCCCATTGTAGAGATGAGAAAATTGAGGCTCAGAGAGGAAATGTAATATCAGAGTTCGGTTTTCCCATAACAAACTCTGAGAAAGTATTCGAGTGAAAGTAGTTTATTGAAAACTGCCGATCACACCAGTAGATGCTGGAGAAGTGATACAGAAAAGGGTACACTATTCAACTAGTGTCGCAGTAACCAAACAAACCTTAAACCAAACAAAAATTTGTCAGAAATGATGAAAAAAATTAGAATTATCTTACTTCAGGAAGAACAAAGCTAGAGTCTTCATAAATCAACTCTCCAGTATCACTGGTTGAATGCTTTCTCTGTGTGACATGCACAGGTGACTTGACGTTCTTCAGTTGCAATACAAGAGCCCTTAGGCACAGAGATGGCGATTCTGGCAAACGCATATTGGTCTGAGAACACTGAGATCCAAGACACAGGGGCGGCATGATGAAATCTTAGCGACAATCTATCATTTGCTCCACACAGACCCAATCTTTGCTTCTTAAATGTAGTAAACAACCACAAACTCTAGAAGAAGGAAGACAAGGAGGAGAGGAAGAGGAGAAAGAGGAAGAACAGAAGATGAGAAGGAGAAGACACACAGAAAGATGAAAGAGAGAAGGAAGGAAGGAAAAAGGGAGGGAGAGAGGGAGGTAAGGAGGAAGGGATGGAGAGAAGGAAAGAAAGAAAGAAAAGAAAACAAGGAAAGAAAGAAAGGAAGGAAGGAGAAAGGGAAGAAAGGGAGGAAGAGAGGAAGGAAGAGAGAGAGGGAAGGAGAGAAGGAAGAAAGAAAAGAAGGAAGGAAGGTATGAGGGAAATACTAAGAAGCTACGAAAAGAAAGGAGGGGGAGCGATATATAAAATGAAGGCCAATGGAACAAGGAACAGTTACTGCCACTACAGTAAGGTGCACCTGAGACTCATCATCTCCACAAGTCACCACAAGTTCTATACTTCTGTCACGACTGTCCAGCACTTTCGCTGCTCTATGTACTTTCCTGAAGGAGTAAACCAGACCTTCCTGTCTGAAAGGGCTGAGCTGCTAGTTACTGTGCCATTGTCCACTGTGATTGCTGTCTTCAGTCACTGGTGGTTATCACCGGGCGTGGACACACTATGAGATTGTTCAGTGTTATGGGTTGACTGTGTCTCCACAAATTCATACTCAAATAGAGTCACTGAAAATGTAATTAGTTAAGATCAGGTCATATTGGAATCAGTTAGGCCTCTGATGCAATGTGACTGATGCCTGTATAGAATGGGGAAGTTCAGAGGCAGTGTGCTTCTAGAAGGAAGCTAACGTAAGAGACACAGGGAAAAGACACACATCTACAAGTCAAGGAGGGAGACCAGGAACAGATACTTTCCTTACAGTCTTCAGGCAAAAACAGCCTTGTCCACACCTGGAATTCAGACTGCTAGCCTTCAGAACTATGAGAAAATCAGTTTAAGCCATTTGGTTTGTAATAGTTTATCATGGCAGTGCTAGTAAATTAATATATTCAGTAAATCTCTTGAGCTACAGATAGATTCTCCTATATTATCTGACTTCAGGATAATAGCTTCTCACCAAATAGGAACTCTGTTCTTTGCCTTCTGCTCTGCTGACATGAAGAGTGCAAAATGACTAGGCAATAGCTATTACTTTTGATTATGCAAAGGAAATAGAGAAGGAAATATTCTCATTTTAGTTCACACAGAAGTAAAAAAAAAGAGGGGGGCAAATTGAACTACAGTGTTACAACTTGATAGAGGGATTATCTGTTTTGGTTAATGAGTAAGAGAATATAATCTAAAGGCAATGGGATTAATTTCTGTTTCCTAACCTGGTAATGGGATCAAAGATGTATTTACAAAGTTATCTTAAGTTGGAAATTCATAATTTGCATTCTTCCTAAATAAATTGTGTACCTCAAAAATGTTTAAATATGTTGGAACTCCAAGACGAATCAGGGGTCATCTCAACTCACCTAATTCCTGCATTAAAAGAAATACAGAAGAAATGGCGCTGACTGTCCTGGTAACCAGGCTTACAGCTGAGCCACGGCTCATGCTGGTTGGCCTGAATCTAAAGCAGTTATGTCATAGAAAGTCCTACATTCTATTCCTGGTAAGCCCCTCACTCCCAGACAAATCAGGATGACCGGTCACCCCAGGGCAAATATTGCTTGATGCTATCTAAGTCCCAGTTGACTTCTCTTTGTACCCACCGACTTTGATTCTGCTCTGCCACATAGAACACACTGTGCCAAACACCCTCTTCCCAAGTGATTTTGATGGAACTGAAAGACACAGGTGGTGTGTGTTCTACAGAGAGATGCCTGTTAGCCTTGAATCAGACTTTGGTGGCTGAGCAGTTTTGGGCACACACATGGGTTTCTTTGGTCACTGTAAAAATATAAGCATCACACTTTTCCCTGCAGACACTTCCCAATCTACATACAGCCAAAGAAGGAGGTTGGCAGAGAGAACTTGAGTCTCCCCAGTCACCAGGAACTATCACATGACCAGAAGACGGTCAGAGCAGGAATCATGCTGATGATGACACGGGCTTCCTTTTATCTGAAAGAAAGATTCTGTGAGTAATTCACGATTAAGAAACAGATTAAACCCTTACCTTCAAAAGATTCATAAGATTTCAGAAACAACTTCCCCTTTGACAATCCCAAACGGACTGTGGAAAACAATGTAAACAGCAACAAGGAAAAGTCCTGCTGATTGGTGGAAACGTTGGAGGCCCGATGTATAAAAGGCCCAGATTGGAAGGAGTCATCAGATTCTGGGAAACTCACCTGTGAACAGGAGCCCACCGTCCACCCCTGACACCATGACCCACTGCTGCTCCCCTTGCTGCCAGCCTATGTGCTGCAGGACCACCTGCTGCAGGACCACCTGCTGGAAGCCCACCTGTGTGACCACCTGCAGCAGCACACCCTGCTGCCAGCCCTCCTGCTGTGTGTCCAGCTGCTGCCAGCCTTGCTGCCCCGCAACATGCTGTCAAAACACCTGCTGCAGGACCACCTGCTGCCAGCCCATCTGTGTGACCAGCTGCTGTCAGCCCACCTGTGTGACCAGCTGCTGCCAGCCCATCTTTGTGACCAGCTGCTGCCAGCCTTCCTGCTGCAGCACACCCTGCTGCCAGCCCACATGCTGTGGGTCCAGCTGCTGTGGCCAAACCAGCTGTGGGTCCAGCTGTGGTCAGAACAGCTCCTGTGCCCCTGTGTACTGCACAAGAACCTGCTACCACCCCACATGTGTCCGCCTGCCCGGTTGCCTGAACCAGAGCTGTGGATCCAGCTGCTGCCAGCCCTGCTGCCACCCAGCCTGCTGTGAGACCACCTGCTGCAGGACCACCTGCTGCCAGCCCACCTGTGTGTCCAGCTGCTGCCCGCCTTGCTGCTGCTGATCAGCCCTGCCAAGGACCATCATCCTAACACAACAACCTTCTGACTTTTTTTTCTGAGACAGAGTCTCACTCTGTCACCCAGGCTGGAGTGCAGTAGCATGATTTTGGCTCACTGTAACCTCTGCCTCTTAGGTTCAACCAATTCTCCTGCCTCACCCTCCCAACTAGCTGGGATTACAGGCCTGTTCCACCACACCTGGCTAATTTTTTTACTTTTAGTAGAGATGGAGTATCACCATGTTGATCAGGCCGTCTCAAACATCTGACCTCAAGTGATCCATCCACCTCAGCAGCCCAAAATATTGGGATTACAAGCGTGAGCCATCCTCCCCGACCCCAACTGACTTATCTTTCAGGGGACAAATTTATTTCAAACACAGTATGCTCTCACAAATTTATTTTTTTAAATATTTCTGCATGTTTAAAATAGTGTGAATCAGCTTGAGGGAGGGCAGAGTACTTCATCCTGATTCTCTTCTCCTTACACTTTGGGTATCATGGGCCAGCTTCTTGTGCCCTCAGGTTGGAGTCATGGTCTCAGGCTTGACTCTAAAATTAAGAGCTTCATTCTCTGCTTCTCAGAAATTTAGGTTTCTGCAACTGATCCATATCTTTGCAATCATATTTTCATTTTCAATTTCCTCCTCATGGTTTTTTACCCTTCTTTCTTCTTTTTATGATAACTCTGGACTATGTCCCTTATAGCACAGATTCTTCCCTATATGTTTCTAAATAAATTCTGAACCATCCTCCATGTCATATGGTGTTTTGTTTTATTCCACAGAATTGCTGATAAGGGATTTATACACATATTGCATGCTATAAGTAATATCCAATTTGATTCTGAAAACAGATGCTCATGTGTTATTTCTTCAGTTTTTAAGCTGAGAACAATTTGTTATGTGATTTGATGTAGCTAATAAAGGACAGACTCGGGTCCAAGGTGAGATCCTCTCTTTCTGCCCAACAACACTCCTATATAACTCTCAGTAAAGTAGAAAAGATATTGGGATTCAGTAAGAAGAAGACATGCACTGAGTTTATTGAACATGGGCGGTATAATCTCTCATATTTGCAGATAACATTTCTGTTCTGTTCACAAAGGTCTTCCCAAATTAGTTTTCCACACCTCAGTGAGCAATAGCTACATGGTATGAAAACAGGGACTGCATTTAATAGCTCCCCTGAACGTGGCTCTCTTTTCCTCTCTGCCTCTGACCAGCTACTTATTCAATTAATCTGCATCAAACATTTGTGAGAATGTATTGTGTCCCATGAAAGAGAGCCTGATCTGAGAATGTATATCATATAAATAATATTCTTATATGGCTTCCTTCTCCTGAAAACCTGTTGAGAAGGTAAAATGAAATTAAGTTATTTCCTCTAAAATATGGACAATACATTAAGCCCATTAAGTCAAATTGTCCCTCAAATCAAACTGTTATTAGGAAAATTATGTAAAACAAATTTAGGGATTGAGGGACTAACCAGTGGGCATGTATGGCTTTGCACAAACCATAATCTCTGTGCAGACTAAAGGTAGAAAACAACCTTCTGTGTTTTGTGAGGCAAATAGGAAGCACGTAAAGAAACGAATTCTTCTGATTTCCAGGGAAATCAGTAGAATTTAAGAAGGAGGAAAAGTGGCAGAACTTTCTCATTTGTGGAAGACACAATAGACAGAAGACTGGTACTTCTGTTCCTGAACTGCTGATGCACCTGAAGTATTCAGTCATGGAAGAATTGATTGGTACTGTCCCTAAGAGAATTAGAAAAGTTAGGGACCTGGGCCACCATCTTGGGACCTCCTACCAGCATGGGATGGGTAAAAATACCTCTGATGAGCTAACAAGGTAGGCTTCCAAGACAGATGCCTACTTCTGAGGTGGTGTATCTAGAATGCTCTGAAGACTCAGCTAACAGACAAGTCACTGACTGTGATAGTCATTGTGTGGTGGGGTAAAGAAGGTGAAGAACTATCACATTCTTTTGATCAACATCAGTTTTGCAAGATGAGTAACTTCTGCAGATCTAGTGTACAACAAAGTGACTATAGTGAACAACAATGTTTTATTGTATACCTGAAATTTTCTAAGAAGGTAGATCTGAGCTGTTCACACCATACAAATGAAAAGGAAATTACAATTATGTGAGCTAAGGAATTTATTATGATTTTACAATAAATGTATATATCCTGAAACACCACCTCATACACTTTAGATATACACATTTTTTATTTTTATTGTCAATTTTCCTCCATACAGCTAATAAAAAATAAATCAGTTGATGTAGTTAATTATTATTCACGTTTTCTTATCTTCAACATTAAAACTAGAAGTTCTATGGACACAAAAACAACTAATTTGCCTTGCTTGCCTACTATTTCATGGGCATTGACTAAATGCTTTATGGACATTATCATTAATTCTTGAAGAAACACTCAAAGTAGGTGTTTATGTTCCCATTGCAGAGATGAGAAAATTGAGGCTGCGAGAGAAAATGTAATATCAGAGTTTGGTTGTCCCATAACAAACTCTGAGAAAAATATTCCAGCGAAAGTAGTTCATTGAAAAGTGCCGATCATACCAGCAGATGCTGGAGAAGCAGTACAGAAATGGGTACACTATTAAACTAGCATCACGGTGACCAACTAAAGCTTAAAGCAAATAAAAAAAATTGTCAGAAATGATGAAAAAGGACAAATTAGAATGATCCTACTTCAGGAAGGGCAATGTTAGACTCTTCATAAATCAACTCTCCAGAAGCATTGGTTGAATGCTTTCTCTGTGTGACATGCACAGGTGACTTGACGTTCTTCAGTTGCAATACAAGAGCCCTTAGGCACAGAGATGCAGATTCTGGCAAATGCATATTGCTCTGAGAACACTGAGATCCAAGACACAGGGGTGGCATGATGAAATCTTAGCGACAATCTATCATTTGCTCCACACAGACCCGATCTTTGCTTCTTAAATGTGCTAAGCAACGAAAAAATCTAGAATAAGGAAGACTAGGAGGAGAGGAAGAAGAAAAAGAGGAAGAATGGAAGATGAGAGGAGAAAGACAGAAAGATGAAAGAGAGAAGGAAGGAAGGCAGGAAGAAAGGAAGGAAGGAAAGAAAGAAAAAGAAAGAAAGAAGAAAGTAATAAAGAAAAAAGAAGAAAGGAAGACAAAAGAAAGAAAAAAGAAAAAGAAAGAGAAAGAAAGAAAAGAAGGAAGAGAAGGAAGGAAGGAAGGGAGGAAGGAGAAATTAAGAAGCTAAGAAAAGAAAGGAGGGGGAGCGAGATATAAAATGAAGGCCAATGGAACAAGGAACAGTTACTGCCACTACAGTAAGGTGCACCTGAGACTCATCATCTCCACAAGTCACCACAAGTTCTATACTTCTGTCACCACTGTCCAGCACTTTCTCTGCTCTGTGTACTTTCCTGAAGGAGTAAACCAGACCTTCCTGTCTGAAAGGGCTGAGCTGCTAGTTACTGTGCCATTGTCCACTGTGATTGCTGTCTTCAGTCACTGGTGGTTATCACCGGGCATGGACACACTATGAGATTCTTCAGTGTTATGGGTTGACTGTGTCTCCACAAATTCATACTCAAATAGAGTCACTGAAAATGTAATTAGTTAAGATCAGGTCATATTGGAATCAGTTAGGCCTCTGATGCAATGTGACTGATGCCTGTATAGAATGGGGAAGTTCAGAGGCAGTGTGCTTCTAGAAGGAAGCTAACGTAAGAGACACAGGGAAAAGACACACATCTACAAGTCAAGGAGGGAGACCAGGAACAGATACTTTCCTTACAGTCTTCAGGCAAAAACAGCCTTGTCCACACCTGGAATTCAGACTGCTAGCCTTCAGAACTATGAGAAAATCAATTTAAGCCACTTGGTTTGTAGTAGTTTATCATGGCAGTGCTAGTAAATTAATATATTCTGTAAATCTCCTGAGCTACAGATAAATGCTCCTACATTCTCCGACTTCAGAATAATAGCTCCTCACCAAATAGGAACTCTGTTCTTTGCCTTCTGCTCTGCTGACATGAAGAGTGCAAAATGACTAGGCAATAACTATTACTTTTGATTATGCAAAGGAAATAGAGAAGGAAATATTCTCATTTTAGTTCACACAGAAGTAAAAAAGAAAAAGCCAAATTGAACAACAGTGTTACAATTTGGTAGAGGGATTATCTGTTTTGGGTAATGAGTAAGAGAATATAATCTAAAGGCAATGGGATCAATTTCTGTTTCCTAACCTGGTAATGGGATCATAGATGCATTTACAAAGTTAACTCAAGACGGAAATTCATAATTTGCATTCTTTCTAAATGAATCATGTACCTGAAAAATGTTTAAATATGTTGGAACTCCAAGACGAATCAGGGGTCATCTCAACTCACCTAATTCCTGCATTAAAAGAAATACAGAAGAAATGGCACTGACTGTGCTGGTAACCAGGCTTACGGCTGAGCCACGGCTCATGCTGGTTGGCCTGAATCTAAAGCAGTTATGTCATAGAAAGTCCTACATTCTATTCCTGGTAAGCCCCTCACTCCCAGACAAATCAGGACGAATGGTCACCCCAGGGCAAAGTTTGCTTGATGCTGTCTAAATCCCAGTTGACTTCTTCTTGTACCCACCGACTTTGATTCTGCTCTGCCACATAGAACACACTGAGCCAAACACCCTCTTCCCAAGTGATTTTGATGGAACTGAAAGACACAGGTGGTGTGTGTTCTACAGAGAGATGCCTGTTAGCCTTGAATCAGACTTTGGTGGCTGAGCAGTTTTGGGCGCACACATGGGTTTCTTTGGTCACTGTAAAAATATAAGCATCACACTTTTCCCTGCAGACACTTCCCAATCTACATACAGCCAAAGAAGGAGATTGGCAGAGAGAACTTGAGTCTCCCCAGTCACCAGGAACTATCACATGACCAGAAGACGGTCAGAGCAGGAACCATGCTGATGATGACACGGGCTTCCTTTTATCTGAAAGAAAGATTCTGTGAGTAATTCACAATTAAGAAACAGATTAAACCTTACCTTCAAAAGATTCATAAGATTTCAGAAACAACTTCCCCTTTGACAATCCCAAACGGACTGTGGAAAACAATGTAAACAGCAACAAGGAAAAGTCCTGCTGATTGGTGGAAACGTTGGAGGCCCGATGTATAAAAGGCCCAGATTGGAAGGAGTCATCAGATTCTGGGAAACTCACCTGTGAACAGGAGCCCACCATCCACCCCTGACACCATGACCCACTGCTGCTCCCCTTGCTGCCAGCCTACGTGCTGCAGGACCACCTGCTGGAAGCCCACCTGTGTGACCAGCTGCAGCAGCACACCCTGCTGCCAGCCCTCCTGCTGTGTGTCCAGCTGCTGCCAACCTTGCTGCCGCCCAACTTGCTGTCAAAACACCTGCTGCAGGACCACCTGCTGCCAGCCCACCTGTGTGACCACCTGCTGCCAGCCTACCTGTGTGACCAGCTGCTGCCAGCCTTCCTGCTGCAGCACACCCTGCTGCCAGCCCACATGCTGTGGGTCCAGCTGCTGTGGCCAAACCAGCTGTGGGTCCAGCTGTGGCCAGACCAGCTCCTGTGCACCTGTGTACTGCACGAGAACCTGCTACCACCCCACGTGTGTCTGCCTGCCTGGTTGCCTAAACCAGAGCTGTGGATCCAGCTGCTGCCAGCCCTGCTGCCGCCCAGCCTGCTGTGAGACCACCTGCTGCAGGACCACCTGCTGCCAGCCCACCTGTGTGACCAGCTGCTGCCAGCCTTCCTGCTGCTGATCAGTTCCCAAAAGGACCATCATCCTCACAAGACAATGTTCTGGCAACCTTCTGTCCTTCACTTGGAGGACAAATTTCCTTTCAAACTTTGCTGACAACCAGCATGGTCGCTCTAATTTTTATGACTTCTCTGCATATTTAACATCTTAAGAATCAGCTTGAGTGAGGGCAGAATATTTCAGCCTGATTCTCTCTTTCTTTACACTTTGTGGATCATGTGCTAGCTTCATGTATTTTCAATTTGGAGTCATGATCTCAGCTTGACTCTAAAATCAAGAGCTTCATTCTCTTTCTCTAAGAAACTCAGTTTTTGCAAGTGATCAATAATCTTCACAGTCTTTTTCATTTTCAGTGTCCTCCTCATGGTTCTTGTATCCTTCTTTTCATGATCACTTTTGGTTATCTCCCTAGAAACAGGGATTTTTGCCTATATATCTCTTAATAAACTCAAAACCATTCTTCATCTGACATAGATGGGGTTTTTAAATTTATTTTACAGCATTCCTGATAAGGGGTTAACACACATATTGTGTATCATATATGTTAACCTAATTTGATTATCAAAACAGTCAGGTTTTATTACCTTTACTTTCCAGCTGAGAAAATCTTAATGTGTGATGTTATTTAGCTAATAATGGACAGACTCAGACGCAAGGTGTGGTCCTCTCTTTCTGTCTAAGGGCACTTACATTTAACTCAATAAAGTAAGAATTACACTGGGACTCAGCATTAGCAAGACATGCACTTAATTTTACTCATCAATAGAGGAATAACCTCCTGTATTTGCCGATAACACTTCCCTCCTCCTCCTCCTTCTCCTCCTTCTTCTTCTTCCTCCTCTCCTCCTCCTCTCCTCCTCCTCCCGCTCCTCCTTCTTCCTTTTCTTCTTCATCTTCCTCCTCTTCTTTTTCCTTTTCATCCTCTTCTTCCTCTTACTTCTCTTCCTCTCCTGACTACATATTGGCCTCCTTCGTCTTCTCTTGAATACATTTCGACACAGCAAAATAAACTTCAGTTGTTCCTTATAAAGTACAGATGCCATCTTTTGAGAGCGTACATCTGGAATGCTCCGAAAATTCCAGAAAAGGAGAAAAGCCACTGACTGTGATAGTCATTGGGTGATGGGGTAAAGGAGACAAAGAACTATCACATCTCTTTGGCCAACATCAGTTACATATGATGAATAAGTTCTGCAGATCTGGTGTACACTAATGTGGATAAAATACTTCACTGTATACCTGAAATTTGCTGAGAAAGCTGATCTTAAATGTTCACACCACAAAAATAAAAAGGAAATAACAATGTGAGTTAATAAATATGTGATTATTTCACAATGAATATATGTATCAAAACATTCTTAAATATACACAAATTTCATTTGTTAATTATATCTCAATAAAACTAGTAAAAGAATTTAGTTGATCTAGTTAGTTATTATAATATTCTTATCTTCAATATTATAATCATTTTTAAAGTTTTCTGAACGAAAAAAGAGCTAACATGTTCTAGGTTGCCTACCATTTGATAGATAGTGACTAAATGTTTTATGTTCATTCATATTTATTCTTAAAGAAATGTGCACAGTAGATGTTAATGTTACCATTTTAGAAATGAGGAAATTGAGGCTGAGAGAGATAATGTAATGTCATAGTGTGGTTTCTCCCAGAAGAGACACTGAGAAGAACATTCTAGTGAAAGTAGTTTACTGGGAAGTACAGATCACACCAGTAGGGATCAGGGAAGTGATACAGGAAAGGGTACACTATCGAGCCAATAAGTATCACAGTGACCAGCTAAAGTTTAAACCAAAAGGAAAACTCTCAGAAATGATTTTTTTAAAATTACATATATCAGCATGCTCCAACTTCAAGAATAAGGGAGCTAGAGTCTTTGTAAATAAGCTCTCAGGAATCATTGGTTGAGTGATATTCCTCTGTGTGGCATGCACATGTGACATGACTTTCTCCAGCTGCAATATAAGAGCCCTTATGCACAGAGATGCAGATTCTGGCAGATAGAAAATGGCCCAAGCACAGTAAAATCCGAGACATACCGGCGGGATAATGAAAAACATTCTCTATGACCTGCCGTTTGCTCCACTCAGATTTAATCTTTGCTTCTTAACTGTGACGGACAGCCAGAAATTCTAGGAGAAGGAGGGAGGAGGAGAGGAAGAAGAAGGACAGCAGTGTCCGAGCCTCTGGCGACTATACCACTGTCCACTGTGGTTGCTGTTACTCATTTGTGGCTGCCACTGGGTATGGACACACTCTGAGATACTCCAATATTTGGATTGATTCGTTTCCCCAGAAATTTGTCACCAAATAGGGTCACTGAGAATGTAACTAGTTAAGTAAGGTCACACTGGAATAAACGGGGCCTCTGATTCAATATGACTGTTGTCCATATGAAAAGCATAGCAGAGTGGAAGGGAAGGAGGGAAAGAGGAAAGGAAGTCAGGAAGAAAGAAGGGAAAGAGAGATATAAAATAAAAGCCAATGGAATAAGATACAGTTACTACTATAATAGGGTTCCCCTGAGATTCATAATCCCCATTCATTACCACAAGTTCTATACTCCCTTCACGATCTGTTGTCTAGATGTAAACAGCATTGAAGAAAATTTAATTTCTTTAGATGAGTTCTAGTTCCCCAACCTTGGACAAACTACTTCTCAGATACATCCAAGTGAAAACATTGAACTCTTATTGGTGATGTCTGAAGACTTGTGGGGAACCTAAGATTTGGGAGACTGGATTTATATCTGCATCAGAGACAATTTTCATTCAATCTAAACTGATCAAAATAAGGATAGCTCCTTCTTCAGGAAGCGTTGAGCATTCCAGCATTTGCAAAATATACACCAGAACTTGAATTGCGAGAGAAGTTTTTTGTTTTTTGTTTTTTGTTTGACTTTTTGGCCCTGAAAATAACTTACAACATCCAAGAAGACTTTAAATAATCTATCTTTTAGTTATTGCACAATGTGTCATTATACAAAAGAAGATTTATGTTATTGTTGTTGTTTGTAATAGTATTGCCAGGGTTTTCTATATTTCAAGTGATTGACTCTTAATTCTGTTTAGGGCTGAATTGCTGCTTTCTTCTTTTACTTTGCTTTTCACCGGTAAATATTAACTTCCTTTGTACAGCTCTGTCCTAAGACAGGTACCGCTAGCTCATTGGTGGCAGCTGGACAATGCTTGCACTGAGTGACCTATCCTACCCACTTTTCTTCCCTCCTCTTTCCTGGTAGCTCAGTTCAATAAGGTTAAGTCCTTTTCTGATGGTTTGAGATACATTTAAAATGGACTTCTTATATTTATTTTTCTGATGAAATAATATGTTATCAGGGAAACAAGGATGTGGCTCTTAAAAATTCATCACAGTCTTGTTAAAAATAATTATTCAGTGACACTTGTGAAAGCATGGTAAGGGAGACGTATTCAGGAACACTGCAGTAGGCAAAGGAACCACATAACAGCTTCTTGCACTGGCAGAGAGAGATTGGACTCATCTCCTAATATAGCATGAGCAAGTGAGAACTGACAGCCAAGGAGCAAGGTGGGGGTCAGTGGATAGAAAATTACTAGAAGGAAGCATCAGCAATGGGGACATTTTGGCTAAACTGATGTTAACAGTATTCTTGCTGATGACAGGCCAGGGTGATCAAACATCACTTGGAGAATGGTGGAGGATAAGAGATCCGATCAGATATTAAGGGTGATCAGATATCGAGGCTGGGGAGTTTCTGAGGAAGTTATCTCTACACAGAGCCCACCCTCCACACCTGACATCATGCCCCTCCCTTCCACTCATGTCCCAGCTCAGCCTATGCACACACAGTGCGGACCTTGATGTCTCATTATTCCAGGGCTCTTTTGGTTAATTTCATCTATAAAGTTTTTTTTAGAATGTTCCACACATATTGACAAGACCTGTTTAACTACTGAGAACCACAGACCACATTGATTGAGAAGACTGGAACAAGGCATACTCAGCCAGCGAGATTGAGTGAGTTTATGAGCAGATCCTAAGGTCACTCCTTGGGTTGGAAAGAAGGCCCAGTCTGAGAGAAAGTCAGAGCACTGATCCTAAAGACACAGTGACGGAAGCCTAATCATTTAAAGTGGGACAGGTGTCATCCAAAGGGCAGTGGGGAAGAAGAGGGTGATATCAGCTGTGCCAATTCTGTGCTGAAGACCAAAATGCTAAAATCAGTCTTTTAGTGTTCTTTACTCAGGCATGTTTTACAGGCAATTGTAAATTATGGAGCAAACAAATCAACCGTAAGTACCGCCATACAACTAAGTTGAAATGTGATGTGTGTTTGTGTGTGTGTGTGTGTGTGTTTGTGTGCATGTGTGTCTGTGTGTGTGTGTGAAGTGTATGTGTATGCACGTATGTGTTTGTGCATGTGTGTGAGTAGAAAAGGTACTGAAGGAGCCGGGCGCGGTGGCTCATACCTGTAATCCCAGCACTTTGGGAAGCCCAAGCAAGCGGATCACAAGGTCAAGAGATCAAGACAATCCTGGCCAACATGGTGAAACCCCGCCTCTACCAAAAATACAAAAATTAGCTGGATGTGGTGGTGCACACCTGTAATCCCAGTTATTGGGAGGCTGAGGCCAGAGAATTGCTTGAACCAGTAGGCAGAGGTTGCAGTGAGACAAGATCATGCCACTGCACTCCAGCCTGGTGACAAAGCAAGAGTCCATCTCAAAAAAACAAAAAAGGTACTGAAGGCAATACCCATACATAGTTAAAAATGAGAGAAAAATACCCATCAGGAGACCAGAACGGATCTAACCAATTGAACTGTTGAAATTATAAGTCCACCTATACCTAGGGATTCAAGAAGCAGAATTATCAATGCTGACATTAGTCAATTCGACTACTGACAGAAATTCTCCGCCTAGACCTTTCCATGTTCAGGTGTTAGATTTTGTTCTTATGGCCATCCCACTCTTTTTTACCCCAGAAACTTCTTTCATGACTATGATCCTTGTGATTCTACAACTGAGGACACAACCATTAATAATCTCTCTACAGCTCCAAAGTATACATCAGTGACAGAAAAATGTGAGCTATAAAGATCTGTGTTCTAGTTACTAAATTTTTGCTGCTCACCTGCAAGGGCTTCATTGCCTGCTCTATGATAAAACAGGGATCCTATGAATGTTTATCCTTGGCCAGTTGACACAATGTTAAGCTTTGTCAATAGAAAGGGTGGGAAAGACACTGGAGTAAAGAAGTGTTCCCTCCCTGGCTTCTATATCCTTCACCAGGCACAAACAGCACATGTGGATTCAGCAGCGACCAGCTCTTGCAATGCACGTGGCTTACCACAGAGCAAATTTCCAGCAAGTCCACCAGTGTACCATCTCAGGAAACCTCCCCACCATCCAGTGAGCCAAAGCTGTGGTCTCTCCAACACAGTCTGGATTTCAGTCTGGGGGTGGGAGTGGGGAGTTACCTTCCTATCTCAGACCTAGGAGCAGTAACAGATTTTAATATCTACTATTCCTATATTGTTTCGTTTCTCTTTCCCTCTCACAAGCCAGTCCCCCTTTATCTCAATCCCCTGTAATTGTTAATAATTCTTTATATTAACCGTGTACAAATTAATATATGGATTTGCCTCCTTTCTGATTAGACTCTGACTGATAAAGAATTGGTAGTGGGAATGATACCAGGAAAAAGATCTTCCATAAAGGTGAGATTTGGAGATGGATTTTGTCATACCCTTGGGCTTGAGCACAGTGCTAAGATTCTTTCCAGTGGAAAATGAGATGAAAATAACCCATGTACCATCATGATTCATCAAGCCATCACTTGT